CTCACAGCTAAAAAGTGGCCAAGTGGGGATCGAACCCAGGCTGTGTGACACCAGTGCCAGGGAGAATAACTGCGATCCTCTGCTGCCTCTCAGCGGCCTAGGGTTGCTATGAGGATTTCATATGCTAATGAGTGATTGACAGCAGATGCGCAGTCCGTGCCGGTTCTGATTAGTAACAGAAACAGATCAACACCCGCTGCAGCAAAGGTGCAACAGGGCGGGGCAGGGGTCCAGGCCCCAGGCCTTGGCTGCCAGCCCCCTACTCTACCTTTGCAGGGTCTGGCAGCCAAGAGAGTGATCTGGGCCCTCCAGGAGGGAAATTTTGGGAGGAGGGAGGGCCCCTGGAGACTCTAGAGCTGAGAACTGGACCAAAAGCCTGGAGGGAGAGTGTCAGTGTTTTCCAAGCTGGAGTCTCTTGACCCCATTTCTGTTCCTGGCCTGGCAGGGCCCAGAACCTGGCAGGGATTCCCTAAGTTTCTGAGATGGGCAGTGTCAGATATCTGAGGGGCCTCTCCCTGGGAGAGCACCAGGGGGCAGTCACTTACTGTCCTGTCTGGGCCCATGGGATAGGGTGATGGGGATCACCGCCCAAGGGCATCCTGTAGGGGGCAGTGTCAGGGCCTGCCTTGGCGCCTCTCTGACCCGGGAGCAGGCGGGGCCAAGGCTTTCTGCCAGGAGTTGTCCAATGTAGCCAGGCCTGAGCCTGGTAGGTGGGGATTGATTACTCCTCTTCTGGAACCACTCCTCCAACCCCGAGACCACTTCCTGGGGCTCCAGGACCCCCACTGAGGGATTGGCCTGTGGGACCACTCCGGGGATTCAAGGCTTTCAAGCTTGGCAGGCCTGGAGAAGAGGGTCTTCAGGGTCTTCATGCGGGCCATGGAAGGGACTGTAAAAGTCTGGTTTGGGCAGCAGGGCTCAGAGAGAGGTGGGAATGGGATTCAGAGAGGAGAGGGGGGCTTGGAGAAGGGAGAGGGCCTTGGTGAAGTGAGAAGTGCATTGTGAGGTGGGGTCCAGAAAAGAAGGGAGAACTCCAAGAAAGGAGGCTTCAGTGTAAGAAAGGGGGCTTAGTGTTAGGGGGATACCCTGGTGGGGGTGTAAGGAAGGGAGATGGAGGGCCAGAGAGGGTCAGGGAGGCTCGGTGGGGAGGACAGAAGCTCGGAAGGTGCCCAGCAAGGGCATGAAGGCCGAGAGCGATGGGTGAACTCAGAGGAGGGAAGAGGCTTGGTGGGGAGAGGGCTCAGGGACCCTTCGTCATCTATTGATCTCATGAAGTTATTAACCTCCCTGTCATATTGTCCCCAGTCGGAACACACAGACTCTCCCAGCCATCCTTCAGAAACCCATCTTGTGGAGGGTTACCCAGAGCCCACCCTGGGGTCAGGGGCAAGACCAAGGCCTTTCTCATGACAGGCCCTGGTTGGTGCCGCATACGGCCATCTGCAAGTCCTTGGGCACCGGTGGGACATTGGCCTTCCTATAGGAGAACTGGGAGCCTCCAAGCTTCCCGATTACTTTTGATTCTCACCCTGCAGGGCACTGACAACACTGACTGACTATCGGAGGCCACTCAGACCCCTCAGAATGGAAACTGAGCCCAGAGCAGGGCTGGGACCCAGGCCACGCCTCTGACAGGGGCAGAGCCGTCCTAAACCCAGATCGGGCTCCAGGCTGGTGATTTTTTCCTGAACCCAGAGCTGCCCCTGCCTCATCCATCCATTCTTTAACCAAGCCCCCCTGGCAGGCTCTGCCCCAGTCAGCCCTGGGGTGGGGGAAGGGGCACATTTCCTCCCACCAGTGCTGCATGTTGGTGCAATCACGGCCACCTCAGGCTGGGCAGGTGGTGTGCCAGGCTGGAAGGAAGGGCAGGAGGGGTTGTTATGCTGTAGGGACCCACCAGGACTGGTCTGTTTTCCCCAGGGTCCCCAGACGTGCTCTTTTGTCTCTGGGCTGAGCGTTGGCAGCCCTGGCCGGACATTTGCCTTTCCCTTGCTGGCTGGCCCCGAAGGCTCCTGCCTGAGGCTGTTCTGCGAGTCTGTTATTGATCCAGAGCTGTCCCTACTTAGCCATTCCTGGGATTCCCAGCATTTGTCATGCCGCCAACTCTCCCAGCACCAAGTGGCGGTTGACAGCACTGTCTCTTGTAAGAAGCCCAGAGAATACGGGCCTTCCTTGGGAGGCACAGTTAGATGGGCACGGTGAGGTCCAAAGTCACCTGGAGAGGTGGAAGGGGAAGAGAACCAGAGCCTTTGACTAGGAGAATCATGCCAGGAAGGGAGTGGTTTCTGCTCAAGTCTTTCCCGTGGCACCCTACATTCCTCAGGCTGGCACACCGGGCATGGGTTGATCGGTAGAACAGCAAGCACTTTGGGATGGGAGGGACATGCTGGGCCTCCTCCACCCTAGGGAGCAGCTTTAGGTACCACATGATGTCCTGCTCTGCCCAGACCTGCTGGGTGACCCTGGGCAAGTGCAGTCCTTATCGGGCCTCAGAGTCCCCTCTGTGTGCTGAGGGGTTGGGCCAGCCCGTTTCTGGGAAAGCACCCTCCAAAGGGGTGAGTCGGGGCTCACCAAGCCCTGGGCCCTGGCATGGAGGGGCACCTTTTTCTAATTTGCACTAGACATTTACAGATCAGGGGCTCTCATAACTGCTCGCCACCCCCATGCCCTGATATGCCCTTGGGGCTCCAGGGTGCTCCACAGGAGGGCCCCCCACATTCCCCAGGGGCCATTTAGCCCCCATTTCAGGGGTTCTGAGCTTCAGGAGCCAGTGCCAGACTGGCTAAGACCAGCCCAGCCTCACCCATCTCCCTCAGCCATTCTGCCTCCTCCCTCCCCTCCCCTGCTGTGTGCCTAAACCCCCAGGTTCCAGTGTGTGCCTGCCGGGGTGGGAGGGGAAGGGAGGAATACGGGGATCCAAAATAAGGCCAGCAGATGGGACCCTGGCCAGCCTGACTCCTGCCCTACTCTGGGCCCTGCCAGGGTGGCATGGGGCTTGGGTGGCTGCCAACAGACCATGGGTTTAGGACCAGTCCCTGGGCAGGAGCTCCAGTTCTGCCAGACCCTCCTCTTCTTCCTCCCTAGTTGGCCCTCCCTGTGATGAAGGTGCTCTGGCCAGGCCCTTTGGACCCAGCCCTGGGGTCCTCTGCAGCCTTTCTCTGGGCAGCCTTTGCTCCTCTCCCTGCCCCTGGGTGGAGAGTGGAAGTCTGCGCCTGCCCAACCCTGGGTCGAGTCTAGAGCAGCGAAGATGACGGTACGTACTACTACTTCACTCCCCAGCAGCCAAGGCCTGGGGGCTGCCCGACCTTATAGACCGTGAGGTCAGAGGGCCCCAGGCAGGGAACTGTGGCCATCAAGGCTCAGGGCCTCGGCTGAGCCTTCCTTCCCCCACCCCCAGTGCCCCTCCTGTCCCCCTCCTCGCCTCATCTCCCGCCTTGCCTATCCCCCACTAACGTGGTCCTGGCCCTCTCAAATGGCGTGATGCTGCTTGTCACTGAGCTGTTTCCTCCACCTGCCCCCTTGAGAGCAGGCATTTGGGCTGACTGGCTGAGCTCCCGGAGTGGTGCCAGCAGGGAGGGCAGATGTCACCACTGGGAGGGGGACAAAGAAAAGGAGAGGCCCAGGGATCACCCCAGAGCTGGGGGTGGCTTGGGCACCCCACAGAGCCTGGGGTAGCTAGTCAACCATGAGCAGCAGCCACAGGAGACTGAGGTCTGTGAGGGAGGGGCTGGCCTCTGCCACCAGCCTGCATCACCCCTCAGATGCCCTTAGGCTGAGCAGGGGGGCCTGGAGGCTACCATGCATTGAATCAAGGCCAATGTCGGAGTCCACAGACTGAAGGACATCAGAGGCCTTTACAGATGCGCCCACTGAAAAGACAGGATAGGCCTGGAGAGGACTAGAACTGCCCTCCACCACAGAAGCAGCACAGGCACTCACCAAGTCTCCCAATGCCCAGGGGAGACCCCAGACCTGGGCCAGCCTACCCTGCCCTGCCAGCCCAAGCCCTCTTGGCCCAGAGGTGCTACCCCGGACCCACATCTGGGCTGAGCTCTGGGCCAAGGGCTTGTACCTGTTGTGGCATCTGGCCTGCTCCAGATGTAGGGATCACAGCAGGGAGCCCACGGGGGGTGTGGGGAGTATCATCCTGTGGGGGCAAATGCTCCAGGCCCTTCCCTGTGGGGTGCCACTCCTCCCTGGGCACCCTGAGAAAGCAGGGCTCTGGGCTTAGAAAAGAATGTGGGCGTATCTTGCCACAGCTATCGGCCCTTGCAGGTGGAGATGGTGTTAGGTCCCCCAAATTCTTGGAGACCTTGAGACTGAGCTCCAAAGCCCCAATCTGCTTTCTACCTCCCTCTTTGGGCCTGGTTAGCGGGAGGTGGGTAGGGTGAGGGCAGATAAGGGACAGGGACAGGGACAGGGCTCTCAGAGGCCTGGCTGGACCTGGAGAGAGGCCAACAGGGAAATAAACACATGCAACAAGAGTTGCGCTGGCCCAGCTGGAAGGTCAAGTCTGAGCCCATCGTTGGGTCAGGGCACTCCGGTTCCCCACCCTTCCAGCTGCCGGTCCTGAGACTCTGCCCAGGCTCTGTTCTCACACCCGCTCTGCTTGCCAGTTCCCTTGTGGCTGCCAACAGGGATGCCCTGGCCTCCAGGGGTGTGGCTGCGACAGAGACAGCGATCCTGAGCCTGCCAGGTCCAGCGTGGTACCTTTGGAGGGTGCTACGGCTAGCGCCAAGCCTTTGACAAGGTAATCCTCCCACCAGCGCTGCAGAGGTGCAATCACCTCTGTCCCACTTCGCCTGGCCTCAGCCTCGGCATCCCTGCCAGGTTACAATCATGACCTCTCCCTTAACGGATGTGAGGCTGGAGGACAGGGCTGTCCCTGGCGACCTATGACACTGCACCCATGGAGCCCAGCTTGGAAGCCAGCAAACGCAGGCAACCGAGGCTGTGGCAAGATCCTCCACAAACACCAGGCTCTGAGGCAGTGGCAAGCAGTTGCTTTGAACTTTATTTGAGAAAAACAGAAGGGAAACGTATCAAAAGAACACAAATGTAAGAGAGAGGGATGGCCAGTGATGGCCGCTGGGGTGGGCAGGAGGGCTGAGGCCTTTACTTGGCTCCGGACTGCTCGGATGTCCCAGCTTCTGGGCCCCCAAGCTGGGCACGCGCCTCGAAGGTGACAGGGATGGTGATCTCCGACGACTGCGTGGCTGGCTTGGGCAGGGGGGCCTCCACAGTGAGTGTGCCCTCAGGTGACAGGGAGGAGGAGACCAGGGTGGGGTCCACACCGGGGGGCAGCCTGAACATGCAGGGAGGGAGAACAAGAGTTACCCATCGGGTGGGTCACTGTGCCCCCTCCCGGAGCTCACCCACCCCCCAGGACCTGGCGCCCGGACTCACGTGTATTTCCGGGTGAAGCACCGGGAGATGTAGCCGTGCTCGTCCTGTCTCTCTTCGTGCTTGCCTGGGCGGGGGAGGAGGAGGGGGAGGCAAGGGCAGGGTCAGAGGCTGTGGGGAGGGGCCCGAAGTCCAAACAGGCCCAGCTGCCCAGAGGCCCAGCCACTTGCTGGGGACGGAGGGAGGCAGTAGCCAGGACTCAAGGCAGACACCTAAGAGTGAGGAGGGAGCTGGGGGGGAGGCGGTGCCTGACTGTCCTCGCCCTCAGAAACTTTTGGAAAGTTCGATTCAGAGTTGTGAGAAGGGTGGGGGCAAGGCACGCCTCCCTCTCTGGCTGGGACAGGGACAGCGCCAAGGGACCAGCTGACTTGGAGACAGGGCAGAAAGGCGCGTTTCTTCCCTTCACAGGGCGCCGTTAGAGCCGAAGGACCCTTAGGGGTGATCAGGGGAAGACGGCCAGGGAGCAGGGCTCTTGCTACTCGGCTTATTTTTAACTCCCCGGGGTCCCGGCCCGCCTCAGCCCCAATCGCGCGCCAGCTTTGTCCCCTGCGGGGACGGGGGCTCACCGGTGATCTCCACCACGCCGTCCTTGGTCTTGACCGTCAGCTCCTCGGGGGCGAAGTGGTTGACGTCCAGGGACACGCGCCAGCGGTCGGCCGTCTGCCGGATCTCCGAGACGCCGCTGCTGAGCTGCCGGCTGAGCGCGCGGCTGAAGGCGGGCGCCGCGGGGCCCTCGAGCGCGGGGACGACGGGGGGCAGCGGCCGCACGTAGCCCGGCCAGCCACTGGTGCCGAACCACTGCGACCACTCCTCGGCCAGCCGGGGCACCCCGAAGGCCTGCTCGAAGAGGCGGCTGTGCGCCGGGTACCAGTCGCGGAAGGGGTCCCAGCTGGGGCCCCGCAGGAGCGAGAAGGGCACGCGGCGCTCGGTCATGCTGGCTCTGCTCAGGGGTCTGGCCGGGGCGAGAAGTGCTGGGCGCTGGCGGGCTGCGCTTTTATGGGCCTCCAGCCGGGTATTTTTAGCAGGCGGTGTTTCAGGGCTCTATTAATGGCAATGACCGGCTGGGGGCCGCCCCTGCCCTGGCATTCCTCCCCTTGCGTACAGGGGCCGTGGGCGGGGCGAGGAAGGTTCTGCCCACATCTGGAACCTTCTCTTGTTCAGGAAAACAAATGACTGGAGCACCGATGTTGGAGCAGTGCCACTGCCGGGCAGTCACAGGCCTGGGAGCTAAAGTGCTGTGGACCGTGGCCTGCGGCCAGTGCCGCCCTTTGAGCGAGGTTGGGTTACTTGTCCAGGGCCACACAACTGGGAAGTGTCCAAGCCAGGATTTGAAAACACAGGACTCTGAGATGGAATGTGATATAAAGCAGTCTGGTGTGGTCTTTAGGAGTGTGGGCTCTGTAGCCCACACATCCTGGTCGTGTCACTAAGCAGGTGAACTTGTGCAAGTTAGATTATTTGTGCCTCAGTTTCCCCGTTTGGAAAATGGAGATGATGATGATGATGATAGCCCCGAGCCACATAAAGATTTTTCCATCAAGAGGGACTGCATGTAGGATGGTAGTCCCCTAAGATTATAATACTGTATTCTTACTGTACCTTTTCTGTGTTTAGAAGCACAAATACTTACCCTTGCGGTGCAATTGCCTCCAGGACTTAGCGCAGTGACACGCTGTACAGGTTTGTAGCCTGGGAGCAACAGGCTGGACCAGATGGCCTAGGTGTGCAGTGGGCTATACCATCCATCTGCATTTCTGCAAGTACACTCTGGGTTGTTCCCACGAGGAAGAAATCGCCTAACAATGCATTTCTCAGAACCTATCCCATTGTTAAATGACTCATGATCTAATCGTTGGCCTGAGGATCGGTGACTTCATGCAAGTGAAGACTTCAGCCCAAGGCCTGGCACGTCGTAATTATTGTTATTATTATCTACCTGGAGTTGCAGAGAGGGAAGGGGAAGGAGAGTTGGTGGGGCTTGGCCATGTTCCCCCTGCCCCCGGCGCTGGCGCTGGCCCAGATCAGAACCCCCGAGACCCAGTGCTGAAACAGGTCAGGCAGAAGGTTATTGTTACATCTTCCATTGTATCTATTTTTCCTTAAGAAGCCCTGACCAGGAAGCTCCAGTGCTGCAAACTCGAATCTAGTGATGGTTTTCTATTGACTTATTGTGTGATTTGGGGCAAGGCCCCTCTTTTCTCCAGGCCTCAGTTTCCCTTTTTGCGGACTCAAAGCTGGTTTTGTTTATCACTCCACAGCACAGAGGGAAAGGGGAGCTCCAGGTGGCACAGTTCACACACACTTGCTTGGAGCCTGACACTCATCCCCAATCCCACCCCTCTATCTGACCACCCATGGGATCCAGGCCCCCATCTCCCAACTCGGAGGGAGGGTGCTGCCCTCGGCTGCTGCCGTGATCCTGACATCCCCTCTCTCCTGCCTTCACAGGCATGACCCTTCCAGCTTCCTTCTCCCCTGACTTAGGTCCTGTTAGCCCTAGTTTTTAGACAAGGAAACCAAGGTTCACAGAGATTAAGTGACTCGCCGCTGTCTCCAGGAAAACACGCAGAGCCAGTCTCTTGCTGCTCTAGTCCCCAGGGGTCACCACTTCCTCTCTTTCCCGGTCCCACTCTGCTTGCTGCCCTTGTCCTGGGACTGAGGCTCTACTCCTGCCAGTTCTCCCAGCAGCCAAGGCCACAAGGCCTCGCCCTGCCCAGGCCCAGACTCTGGGGAAACCTGCAAGGCTGGAAGCCATACTCCAGGCCACTCGCCTTGATGAGCTGGGGGTAGTCCAATGCCCTCTCTGAGCCTCAGTTTCCTTTTTGAGAGAGAGCTCATAGATGCCTCTCTTTCTGACCCACCTGCTCCTTGTCAGGGAAGAGCTGGGCCTGGGCCATGAATCCGAGGTCACCCTGGCAAAGCCCCTGAGCTCCTGGGGCTCTGTGCCCCACTGCCCTTGCTAGGTCATGTCATGAGCCCAGAGGGTCTCAGTTGGGAGCTCCTGGCTGACCCCCTCCCCCCACAGGTCTCAGCACTCCCACACCCTTGCCCCATCCCCAGCCCTATAAAGTCAAAGTGAGGTCAGGAGCCAGGGAGAGCCTTCATCCGCCCCTGCCTGCCCATCTTGGCCCAGACTGGAGCCCAGCGTGCCCCGCCCCAGTGGGAGCTGTCAGGTGTGGTTACCAATGCTTTCAAGTGTGGCCCTGCCAGGCCCAGCCACGCTCTGGGTGGGGGCTTTCGCCTGGCTGCCTGCACTTTGTAAACACAGATCCCTTCATCTTGCCTGGAACCAGGGTGGGGCGGGTGCACCCCTGCTGCCCACGCCAGGAGAGGTTTTGCAACTCAGGGCACAGCAAACCTCAGCGCCCTGCATGCTCACTCTGAATTCACATTCATCTTCAAGGGGTCAGTTCTTGAGCGACGACTCATAGATCACCCTGCCAATCACGAGGGAGGGGACCTGAGTGGCTCTGGGCAGCATGGAGACGAGATGGGGGTGGCAGTGAGGGAGAAACTGGATTTTGAGGTCAGACAGGGCTGGGCTTGAATCTGGGTGCTACTGTTCACTAGCCTGGTGACATCTCTGAGCCTGCATGTCCCCATCTGCCAAACAGGGCTAACAACGTTCCCACCCACGTGCAGGGCTGCGGTAAGTCTCAGATGCATTAACATACAGAAAGTGCCCAGTGCTCAGTGAGTGTGCACTGTTATGAAGGCCTTTAATTTCAGATACTGAGATTCAGACTGATGAGAGTTACCCTTTCTGGAACATCAAAGTATCTTATCAGAGTCCCATTTTTTTTCAGATGAGAAAACAGAGGGTCAGAATTTCCCCAAGGTCACAAAGCCAGTAAGGGTCTCAGGCCTTCCGATTCTCCCTCCAGCAAGGGAGCGACTTCCCCGGCAGTTCAGGGAGGCCTGTGGGTTCCTGGGCCACAGGGGCAGGAGTGCAGCTGAGTGTTCTCTGGCAGGCCAGGGAGGGTTAGGCCAGGCTCTCTGGGGTCCCTTCCAGCCCTGCAGGGTACCCTTCCTCTAGGCAGCGGCACTCCCTACCCAGCAACCGAGCTTGGCAGGCAGAGCAAGGGCTAGGTGGCAGCTCCTACTCACTCACCAGCCCAGCCAATCTGTGGTTGGCCTTGGCATCCCAGGCACTGAGCTGCCAGGGGTGGGTTTTCTGGGATAAAGGGGACAACTCTATCCCCAGGGATTTCCCAGAAGCCATGGGTGGAGGGGTGGTAAACAGGTCATAGCCCCACCCCCTTCACAGCCCACTGCAGGGTATGGGGGGGATTCCATCATCGGAGGGCCCCTACCCTCATCCTAGCCCCAAAGTCTGGGGTGCTCTGCAGTAGCCCCAAGACCAGCCCCCTCTCCTCATACTGCTCAGGAGGCCTTGGCCATGCCCTTGGCAGGAGTCTGCCAACTGCAGCTAAACCAGCCCCGCCCTTGCTGGCCCAGTTTCAAAGAAAGCGCGAGAGCCTTCTGGCAGCTGCCCGAGCTCCCTGGAGAGGCTTGACAGCTGAAGGATTGCACCAGCCCCCAGGCCTGCTGGGATCTGAAAATGTAGGCAGTTGTAATTAGAGAGAATGGGGTGGGGGGGCACTGAGTCTTTCTGGAAACGTCTAGACACTGCCTCTCTGGGAGTCCATTTCTAAAAACCCATGTTCGGCCTGCCCCACTCCCTAGACCTCTGGTTTCTGGCTGGTCTTGGGGGTCACCCCACCCGCATCACCGCTGAATGGGGCCATCCCCCGCCCCTCCCGCCATGGCTGTCCAACTAAAGGAGTCTGTCTTGTTCAGGAGTCTGGGGACCTGGATGTCTTTGACTCTGCAACCTTGGCTAGGGGCTGGCTCCTGTGAGTCATTTTCTGTATCTGCACAATGAGACCATTGGACTGGACGTTCTGTAAGACTCCTTCCAGGGCCATGAATCAACAATTCCTCCTTCTCTCCTCCCCTCCTCCCCATGGCCCCTGCATCACCCATCCTGAGCCTACACGCTGTAGTAGGGGAGTGGTGACAGAGATTCTCTGCTTGACCAAACTTTAGTCAGGCTCCGGGACCTCTTCCTAGGCTCCTCTGTGTATTTCCTTGTGAAATCCAGTTTTAGCAGGAAGTCTGCTAAGCTGGTTTTCCAAGAACCCCTCACCCTGGAGACTTGACCACCCTCCAGATCTGATGGGGCTCCTTATTCTCCTCCATGCCCCAGGGGATGTGTCGTCACCCTGGCTGCCTTCAGCTAGAATCCTGCTAGGTGGGTTTAGCCAGAATCCCCCTTACCCCTGATGTCCCCTCTTAGTGATTTTCCATCCGCTGACCCCCCTGGGGGGGGCTGTAAATTCCCACCTGCCCATGCTGTATCCAGAGTTGAATCCAATCGCTCTCCTCCACTGCAAAAAATCCCATCGCAGTGCTCCCTGTGCCCATCGTGCTGGTCCTGTCCTTACCATGCTTTAACAAGTGTCACTGAGTCATTTTTTTCTTTAACAGTGGAGGCAGAGGGGAGGGGAGGATGTGGGGACACTCACCAGGCCTGAGAAGTGGACATCTCCTTCCCGTCGGCCTGCTAAGCCTGCGAGTGACTTGGGACTGCTTTAAAAATCACAGTAAGATGAAGAAAAGGGGTAGGTGGGGACAGAAGTCCCCCCAGACCTGCAGGAGATAGGGGTTCCTGTCCTGAGATGGATTTGGGAGCCCTACAAAGTGGGCACTGGTGGTGGAAGTGGGAGGCCCTGAGGCTGGGGCACCCCATGTCCTGGGTCTCCTGAGATGACATGCAGGTGCCTGGTCATTGGGCCTGTTTGCTGAATATTCCCTCAGCTGAGAGAGGCAAGCAGGAGCCAGGGGACTTCCAGAAGCATCTCAGAGAGGCAGGGGATGAGGGACACTGGCTGGGACACCCAAACTGGGCATGCACATGTGGCTTGTTGCCCTGGGTCTGGAGCTGTAGGAAACTGGGGAGAAAGGAGAAAATACAGCCAGGAAAACAGGAAACGGGAAAGTCCTGTCTGGCCTCCCAGCTGCTGTGTTGGGAGCGAGGGGGTGCTCCCTGGGGGACCCCTCTGAGGAGCCAGAGGCTAGGAGAGGACCTGCTACATCCCCAAACCAGAGGAGCATGCCCCAGGCTCCTTGGGCGAGAAATGCCCACATCTTGGGGGAGGTCCCCGCCCCCATCCCCTTGTCCTTGCTGCCCAGGGCAGGATTGGAGTTTCCTGTTTTCCTGCCTGCCTTCCTGGTAGTACTTTTCCCTTTCCCCTGAGCACAGTTCAAGCTGAGCCCTGAGTCTGTGCGAGGGCCAGGGGCCTGGTACTCTCCCCACCCTTCCCCGGTGAATGGGCACCCCTTCCCCAAGTAGCCAGGAGGGCACTGAGGATGAGGGCTTGGGGGCTTCTAGGCTGGGATGGACCCTCCCGGAGGAAGCTAGGCTCAGTCAGGCCTGTTGGTCCCGGCAGTGGCATCTTCCTTACTCTCTGTCGCCCTCTCGTGTCTTCTTGCTGCCATCACACCTCACCAAGCCTCTCCCAAGGTTTCAGGAACTGTTCATCCCACCCCACTCCCTAATTCACTTGTTTACTCATTCAACAAACATTTTAAAGGGGCCTACCTGGGGGATGCAGAGATAAAGCAAGCATGGCCTGGCCTCCAGAAGCTCCGAGCTTTGAGGGGAGAGAGACATGCTAATAATGCAATGACTGGAACGCAGACTGCAGCCCTAAACACAGGCTGCCAGAGGGGACCAGTGAAAGGGGTTGAGCACAGTGGGGGGGATCAAGAAGGCTCCTTGGAACAGGAGGTAGCTGGGCTGGGCCTCTACCTGTGAGTGCACCTGAACCCGTGGAAGGACATGAACGGGGTTCAGCTGGGCTGGGACATGATGGAGTCAAGGGCAGTGATAAGAGATGAGCTTGGAGAGCCAGCAGGAGCCAGGGGTGGCAAATTCCAGTTGGAGCCACTCGGATGGCCTTCCAAGGCCCAGGAGCTAGTAGACATGGTCACAGGATGCAGGGTCCACAGGCAGGGGGCTCTGTTTCATTCATTCAATACTGTGTCCTCCAAGCCAGGAACCGTGCTGGGCACATAGTAGATGCTCAGCAAGTATTTGTGGGATGAGTGAGTGAACGGTCAGGTTCACAAGTTAGAACTAGCGGGAGGGTCTAGAGAGGGCAAGATGGAGGTGGCCACCATTGGGGGGGGTGTGGTGGGGCTGGGAGCTGAGCTGGGAGGGAAGGAAGCCTTGTCTGGGGCAGCCTGGCTGTGGGCTATGGAAGAGGAAGCCCCTCGGGCTGGGCAGTGAGGGAAGGGGCTGGGGCGTGGGGACAGTGTAGCTAGGCAGCAGGGCCCCGAGGCCAATGCTGAGACGGGCTGAATTTTGTGCCAGCCTTTGGGGTGTTTCGTGGCCCGCAGGAGATGGCATTTCCAGAGCAAGGCCAAGTGTGCCCTTCTGTAGCCCCAACCCCTTGCCTGGGCCCAGTTTTGCTGAATTTGTCTAAAGGGTTAAAGAGATCACCAGGGCTTCTTTGAACAGCTTCCTCGGGTCAGAAACAGAGCCACTGGCCAAAGGCCATCTCAGGTGCCCCTTCTAGTTTGGGGGAAGAGAAACTGGAAGGGTGTCATGAGCAGGCATAGCCCCAGGCTCTGGGGACTGCATGGAGGACACCTCCCGTGTCATGGCTCCCGCAGAGAGGGGAGCCTGGGCCATGTTGGCCACACCTCAGCAGAGAGGGAACCTCCAGGGCCCCAAAGGGCTTCAGAGGGTCCATGAGATCCCATTTGTCAACATGCCAAATCATGGGCACGTGCACATTTTTTTGGTGAAGGGTTCTCGGCCTTCATCAGATTCTCAAAGGACATGATTTAAAACAAAACAAGAAAAAAAAAACCAAGGTTATAATCCACCACTCTAAGAAAGGGAAAGGAATAAGGAGGAGGAAGAGAAGGAGAGAAGAAAGAAGGGGAGAAAGAGAAGAATGTATGTATTTCTTTGGATCTAATAAAAGAAAGAAATACAACGGGAAACTGGGTACAGTGGCTTGACCCTGTAGTCCTAGCTACTCGGGAGGCTGAAGCAGGAGGATCGCTTAAGGCCGGGAGTTCAAGACCAGCTTGGGTGATACAGTGAGATCCCGTCTCTAAAACACAAAAAGAGGGAGTGCAGTGCTGTAGGCCAGGCCCTGTCCTCGAGCCTAGCCAGGGCCAGGAACTCAGCGTTTTCCCTAAGTGGCCATCTTGAATCCTGGCCGATGCCAGCCGCCGTGCTGATAGTTCACTTCCCCTTCATCCCGCCCTGTGTGTCACACACGCCAGTGCTGCTCGGAGCTGTGTTCCGACCACTCTGGAACAGGCCACCTTGTAGTGAGGACCTCTGTGGGTCTGCCCTGTCCCCGGGACACTGCTGAAGCCAGGAGGGAGGTCTCCTTGGGTCCCTGTTTTCCTCCCCACTCAGGCCACAAGAAGGTTCTACAGATTCATGTTTGGGGGGCGGGGATGGATGTGCTGGGCCCTGGTTCCTTGGTGCCAGCTCTTCTCTTGGGGGTCCCAAAGAAGGAGTCCAAGCCCCTCTCATTCCTGAGAGGGAAGAACCCCGGACCCCCCGCCCTCCGGAGTCTCCCCGGGTGCCACATTCACAGAGGCCTGGTCTCACCACCCGCTGTCCGGGCACCGAGGGTTTTATTAGAGTTCAATTTTTATCCGCACCGCGGAGAAAGAGGAAGGGGGAAACAGAGAGAGGGGAACCCGGACCAGACCCCAGCCCCCCTCCCCCCAGAGCCCAGGGCATCTGCCCAGTTGGGCCAAGGAAGACTTTGTGAGATCCCTGAGGGCCCCAGGAGGAGGGGGCTGGGAGCAGCAGAAGAGGAGGGGGCACTGCTTCCCTGTCAATGCCCCGGGCCAAGACCCTCAGCCTAGACCCTTCCCTTCCTTCCAAGGGCTATACCACCCCTTCCTTGGGGAGCCTGGGCTGACCACAGCCTCCCCAAACCCCAGGAGGAGGTGCTCCCTCGGCAAGCCCAGAGGCGCACGTTATCCTACGCCTGTGACCGTGGGCTGTCATCAGGCCCAGGTCCCAGACCCCAGCACAGGCTGCCCTCCTCTCTGGTGGGGCTGGTGCGCTGCTGACCTTTCCCCCCACCCCTGCTCCCCTGGGCCTGCTTGGTCATTGGACTGTGTTGTTTTTTCCCTTTCTCACAGATACCGCCTCCATCTGCCCCCATCCTCTTCCACCTCCTGACCTCAGGGTCCGATGCAGCTGTGGCCTGTAGCCCCCACCTCTTGCCATGCAGAAGGCCTGGCTGGTGTGGCCTTGGCCCAGGGCATGTGGTGAGGACTGGAGGGGACCGCCTGGCCTGGAGAGGGGGACCAAAAGTCGGCTCTCTGCTCCTTAGGCTGGGGCTTTGGGGGCTACCTCGTCTGCGTACTCCTGGGCCAGAGGACGGGCTTGGGGAGGCTGTGGGGCTGGCCACCAGCCCTCAGCCAGGGGCCTCCTGCAGCCAGCTCAGAAGGACACAGCATCCCAGTGTGGATGGCGGTGCACCAGGGTTAGGCCATTCTTCCTTCTGTCTAGCATAGATCCTGCCTGCCGTACCACCTCCTGGTCCTTCCGGTGATAGGAGTGGAGGGTCCCAGGTCTGGCACCTTTTGAGGTGTCCCTGGGTGCACTGAACTGAGGTGAAGTGACAGCAGACCGTGGACTCTTGTGTCAACCACCAGCAGCAATGCCCAGCTTGGAGAGCTGGCATCAAGCAGGAAGGGGGAGATGGCGTTCCCTGTGTTCGCACGGCTCTTTGTTCCCTGGGCGTGGTGGGCAGGCAGGAGGGGGGTGGGCACTCTTGAGAAGCAGCAGAATCTGGCTGCTCCTTGCCACAGGACGCCCACCCTCAAAGTCTTCCCTGGTCCCATCTGCCCATGCGCTGGCCCCTGGGCCTCTTTGTAGCCATGGGGACCTCCACGTCGTGGTCCTGGGGACTGCCCCTCACCTCTCCCTGTGCCAGGGGGCACCAAGCTAGGTCTGTGGGCTCAGAAGCCCCCGCTCTCAGAGCTGCTCCGGCTGTGGTAGCTGGGACTGGGGGTCCGGGAGGGGCTGCGCGTATGGCTGCGGGTCCCACGACTGCGACTGCTGTAGCTTCCGTGGCTGTGGCCAGGGCTGGGGCTGTGGCTGTGGCTTCGGCTGGAGTAGTCGCTGCTCAAGCAGCTGGAAGAGGAGGAGGGGCTGGGTCGGTAGTAGGGGATGGGACGCTTGCGGGCACTGCGGGAGGAAAAGTGAGTTACAGGCCATCCGGGGCCCTTACTCAGGCCCCGAGCCCCATCCCAGCAGTGGCCAGGGCTTCCTGCCTTAGTTTCCCCTGAGCCTTGGCCTTAGAGACCCCCACGCCCCCCCAAACAGAATTTGAGTCAGTGGTCACTTGCCAGTTCCATGTTGATCATTTTGTTTTTCTCACCTGTCTGCAGGGAAAGGAGCCCAAAACGCTCCTAATCCGAGTATGCACTGGCATTTGTTGAATGAACGAGACTTACACATACGGCCGCCTCACATCAGCCAAGCTAAGCAGAGGCTTCTCTGAATGGAAGTGTCTGGGAATGTGGCCCAGCCCTGCGTCTCTGTTTGCCTGTCCTCCATGCAATCAAGGATTTTGGTTTTTTAGGTCCCTGGAAGGGAACAAGGAAGGGACCCCTGGCCAGTGCCACTGGTGCCCGAGGCCCGCCCGGTCCCTCTGGCCCAACTCCACACTCAGCTACCTCCCGCTGGCCCGGAGTTAGTGTGAAGCCAGGAGGCTACGACCCAGAGGAAAGAGAAGACAGTGGTTAAGGGGACAATAGTGCCCCACCGCAGGGTTAATTCTGAGGAAGAAAACACCTGTGCGTTAGTGGGAGGAGGAGGCAGCTTGGGAGAGGAGCTCAGTAGGTGTCAGGTGGAAGGTGTGGGTAGGTCTGGCCATCTTAGAATCCCCAGCTTGTGGCTGGGGTGTGTGACCTGTCCGGGGGTGCGTCCCAAGCCCGGTGCTTTGGCCTTGAGCTCTGGGATGAGGGGAGGAGGCAGGGCCTTCTCCTCCTTTGGCGACCTGGATCATCAAGGACTAGGAAGGACGACTTTGAGAATTATGCCCTGCTGGAGCTGAAAAGACGCTCAGGGCACCCTGCTTATAGTAGGGATGTGGCAACCGGGACCCAGCGAGGCACACAGATCTTCCAAGGCTGCCCAGCAAGGCGGTGGCAGAGCTGGGCTCAGAACTTTTTGGCCCTCCACTCCCTGCCAGGGTAATATAGGGCTTCAGGGTGATTCCCACGAAGGCAGACCACAATCTCACCTGGAGACCCAAGCCCAGACCCTCTAGTCCTAGCAGAGAAGCCCTGATCATGGCTTTTGCCACATCAACTGCACCCTGGGCTATGTGGGACCAGTAGGGGGACAGGTTCCTTTGACTGCTGCCCCAGAGACCACACTGCTGTGCCCCCTCCTCCAATTCCCAGGGTTAGTGAGAAAAGGAGAGGCAGACAGACGACAGCTGACCGGAGCCAGACCAGCTCACATGGGCATCTCCCCGGCAGCCTGTGCACAAGGGTCCACCTGGCCCCCAGGCTGGCCACAGGCCACTCAGCAGGCTGGACCTTGAGATGAAGGAGAAAAGGAGACATCATTGTCCGGAGATGGATGTGTCAGGAAGGGACAGGCTTCAGCGGGGTGGCTGGAATCTTCCAGAACTGAACTCCATGCCTGCTGCTGCCCACCCAGACCCAAGTACAGACCCCCGTCCCCTCCATGGGCTCCTCCACTGGGACCTCTGCCTTGATGAGGCCTCAGCCACCTCTGTCTCTGACCGCCCCGCCCCCACTCTGGTCCGCTCCTCAATGAGGCCTCAGGCCCCTGCTAGGCCGGGAACCCACCTGCTCCCTCCTCCCTTCGCCGAACGCCCCTCCCCTCCCCGCGCCAGCTCCAGTCAGTCCTCTGAGAAGGGCCCCAGCCGAGGTCTTGGTCACCCAACGGGGCCAGCGGTCCCTCTGTACCTGGTGATGCGCCGCGGCTCCATGAAGCTGGGCGAGTCCCGGCGCCTCTTGCGGATGGGCGAGTAGCTGCGGGAGCGGCGCCGGGCGCGGGCGGCCTCGGCCTCGGCGTGCCTCGCGCGGCCCTCGCCGTCCTTGTCCCTGCGGGGGCGGCCCCAAGTGAGCATGCGGCCCGGCCACCCAGCCCCGCAGCCCACCCCTCGGCGCGGTCCCGGCGTCCGCGAGGTGGGCGGGCAGGCACTCACCGGCCGAGGTTTTTCTTGGGTGACGGCGAGCGGCTGGCGCTGCGGGCCCTCTTCTCCGCCGAGCGCGAGCGCGATTTGGAGGGCGAGCGGCTGGAGCTCCACGAGCGCGGGTGGGGGCCCGGGCTGCGCGACGAGCTCTTCCCCTCCGGGCCGCCGCGCCTGCCGTGCGCGCCCGGGGACGGCGAGGTGCTGGCGGGCCGCGCGCGCGGGGGCCGCTCCTTCGCGCTGGAGGAGGGCAGGGCACAGCGGGGTGGGGTTCAGCGACTCTGGAAGTGGGCATGGGGACGGGAGGGGTCTATGGGGTAGGAGCTAATGGGGGGTGTCAGGGAGGGACCCCGGTGTGTGTTGGTGGGGACAGTGATCAGTGAGGGGGGGCGCGCTGACAGGGACCAGTGTAGGGAGCTCAGTAAGGGGAGGGTGTTGGAGGATCAGTGGGGGATGGGGGAGAGTGATCAGTGAAGGCGGAGTCCAGTAGCTGAGAGGGTGTCCCGCGCGGGCGTGATCTGCTGGGGAAGCGGATCAATGGGGGAGGACTCCATGGGGTGGCGGATGCTCCGTGGCGGGGTGGGGGTCTGAGGGGCAGTGAAACTCGGGCGGGGGGGCACGGATGGCAGGATCAGTAGGGGAAGGAGCCCCATGGGGAGATCAGTGGGGGAAGAACTCCACAGGGAGTAGAATACTCGGGGGGGGGGGTCAGGATCAGTGGGGGAGGGAACGAGGGGGTACCAATGCAGGGGAGCTCCGTGAACTGGGGGCAGGCTCACCGTTTCCCGTGGCTGCCGTGGCCTCGCTCGGAGCCGGGCTCAGGCCCGGGGCCAGGGGCGCCGCCGCCGCTGCCCGAGTCGCTGCTGGAGTGGGCCCTGCTGACCGAGCGCGACGAGCCCCGGGGGGGCGCGGGCCGGGCGCGCCGGCGGCCCCTGCGTCGGGGCGCGGACGCCGAGGACCGCGAGCGCCG